AAAACCTTGATCCTCGACCAGCCCAGCTGACATGAACTTATATTCATTTACCATTTATGAGAAGTTAATCAAGCATTTGTAAACAATCAGCATTGAGGCAAAAGTGATAATTAATTTCGAACATCAACATCAACAAGTAAGGGGTCGTTATGCTTCCCACAACAACAGTATGAACAAGTGATATATAACGAAAACACAACCCGGAGAAAACTAGAGATCAGTGAGAAAGTTGAGCCACTTTCTCGAAACCTTCGACACGCATGAAATGTGTTCGCAATTTTTCGTTCAAACACGAAAGCAGCTGAAATACAAATAAAAAAATTGAAAGTACTTCATTTTAAAAGCATCAATGAAAAACTACAGCCCACATACCAAAGACATTGCGTAGGGAAACTATCACTCAAAACATCTCAAAAAAACCTAGCCAGAGCATTGAAACATACCTTTTCTTCTTTCTGTTTTGCACCTAAGCTTATTAAATCGCTGATAGCAGTCAGAGGCAACCACACACTGGAGTCAGTCGACTTCACCTGAAATGTTGATGGTAGAGTTTGAAATACATAGTATATTTAATGATCCTGAATTAATTTCCCTTATAAGACTTATTGAGTTTTCACTTGATTTCACACTACATGGAGCACTATTCGCTACTGAAAAAATTATAGACGTTCTTTTAGAAAAGTAGTTTCAGCCACTTTTGAAGCGGCATAGGGCGACCTACGATTTGCACTCTGCTTGAACGGATCGAAGTCTATCAATCGATCAATAAAAAAAACAAGGAATTAAGCGAACCTTCTTTGTTTCTTGATCGACACAATTTGCTGCTACTTTGAGACCTTGAGATATTGCTCCATATTCAATCAAACATCTCAAGTAACCTCCAACATCCCGTTCCTAAAAATGCGTGCATTTTTTTGTAAGATTGATCGTAGACATGATGATGTGGACATCAGCAAAGCTCCTTCAGCATTCCTTTAACGCTCGAGATTCGAATGAATGGTAACGACAGAATGAAGTCCAGATTCTTCTACGAATTAATGAGCCCGTAGTTAATGGCTTGTGGCTCATTTGTGGAAATATTGATAAGATAGTGAGCTCTCTGCTAGCTTAGGAGACTATATCTTTACAACCTTACACTGCACAATTCTGGACGTAAAACAGGCAATACATTCGGCGCATACGAAACATTATGCTTACCGCATATTCCGCGTCCAGCCAGCACGGAACAGGAATGCCGTGCGCCAAAAACGTTCGCGTAATTGCGCGCAACGGACGTGAGTCGTTAGGCCAGAGACGTTCTGCGGCTGCCAGTAACCCACGCACTACAGACCAGTGATTGCTGGAAAAATATACGATTAATTGATGACCCTTACTGCAAAAGATTCCACAATATCATGATCATCTTCGAATGAAAGATAGTGAAAACAGAACTTTCACATCATTCCATTGAAAGCAATTAATATTCAAAAATAAGTATAAGTCTCACAAAAAATCTTAGAGTGGAATGATAGTGTACATACCTAGACCCAGTTTTCTCAGAACGTCGTTGATTTGCTTGAACCCAAGAAGGCAAGATATCGGGTGGGTTAGCATCGATCGACAGGGAATCCAGGGTTACAGCACACAGCAAATCGCACACAGAAACATCACAATGCCTTCAAATAGCCTTTTTATTACAATGACGCCTGATTATTCAACAATAGACTGAGCTACTTCAAAAGAAAAACTACTATGAATACCTGCAAACGTCAAAAGCAACGTCGTAGTTTTTGATAGCGATGAGCTTATCAACAATTTCTTTCGGATCGCACGGAGGTACTTCTCCGGTTACCAGTAAAGCCACACGCGCGTTTGCTATTACACATTCTTCACAAAGCCTATAAAACTGAAGCTCTTGCTACTATTGATACCGCATTACGCAGACCTGACTGTGGGAGCTCACTTTTCTGCTGTCAGGATGAACATTCGACGCTGAATTGAAGCAGCTGCCGGAGCAGTCATATTAAGTTCATCAGCAATGACGTCACGCAAGGTTACATCAATCATCTCTTGAGTTATTTCATGCGGCGATTCTGGTTCAGACTCTTCTTCAAGTTCTTTCGGCAACTGGAACTGTAACGAAACAACAAGAAATTCACCAGTCTAGTCCAGTTCAAAAAACTTTCCAAAGATTTCAGTCTATACTGAGAAACTTGAACCAGCGAATGTTTGGGCTACAGCAATACAAGGTATCCCCGTAAATGTTGCATTTTAGGACTTTCTGATTTTTCAACCTAACATAAGGCAAGTTTCTAAGTTTACATATGACTTTTCCCCATATCCTGGATATCGACAATGTCTCTTTTCCGAAATAAAATATTCCGAGATATAGTATTATTATGTATTCTAGACGATTCCGAGAAAACCGGAACTCTTTCTATGAAATTGTTTTGAAGGCTGTCTAAAATCGATTGGAATTTATTGAAGCAATGATCGACTGGAAGTCAGTACGATGGGATCAAAGCACCGTTCCCATTTCAGGGCGTTCTAATTGACATTCTTGCATTTCGAATTGATGTTCTTGCGCATAAACCCGATATTTACCTGGCGGGAGACACCTTATCATCAGGAAACTGATTAGCTCTTTTTCCAGTGAAAACCTGAACCACCCGAGGCGCTCTTAGTAGACACCTCACGTAAACCTCACTGAGCTTATGAAAAGTAACATTTGAGATCGGCCTGACTCCATTGAACTTTTAAAGGCACAGTTCACGTTAAAAATGGTTTCTGAGATTCCCCACAGGAAGAATTTAAGGCGCCCGCGCATACCATTTCTGGCACTATTAGGTCGGAAAACGGCCTAGTTAGGGAGTTATAAAAGCTCAAAGATTGGCCCATGTGTATACTCGGTCGAGTTTCACCAGCATCGTAGAGGCTGCACCGGTCACAAGGGAACCCATGTAGGAAGTTCAAATAACTTGTCATGACCCATAGCGACAGTGAAAGACACTTCTGTACAGTTCTGG